GGTAACAGAAAATTTAGCACAAAAAATCTTGACCACCTGCTTAATTTCCACTTAAAATATTTTTTTTCAACCAGTTCGGTATTAATGTCTATTATTCTATTTATCAGTTGTTATGCTATGAATTTAACACAGACACAAAATTAAAAAATATTGTTTAATAGATTTTATACACATGGCTACTTAATAAATAGATCCAGTGTAAAACAGAACTATATAAAATACTTTTTATTTTACATTCCATAAAAATAATGACATTTTTGGTTTTGGAAATGTTATTAATCATCTTTTACCATGTTTCTTCATAACATAGATTTTTTTTTTTTGTACTTGTATTGTTCAGAGATTTATGTAGTGTGTATTTATAATAATGTTAATAATTTTCAACTGTAGTTTGCCCAGCTAACTAGTGTCATAATTTCCTAGAACTTGTACATACACTTTTGTAAACACATTCTTTTTTAAATTATAAAATAACCATGACACACACACACACACACATATATATATAACATATTCATCATGTCTTGGGAGACATTGGATGGCACCGATGAATCAGTTGTTAAATGGTTTACAGGAACGTAGCAAGAGTTAACCAAGAGGCCTTAAATAGAAGGAACATGAGATGCCTCTTCATATATCATGATCCCTATCTTTTTCTTGTTAAAAATTAGATTCTGTGTAGTACCAGTTAAGATGTTGAAGCTGTCTGGGAAATACCGATCTAGTTTTTAGAATGTCTGAAGGTCTCCTCTCCAGATTTTTTCTTTAGCACTCCAGTGCAGCTGAGATTTGAAATGAGTATCTTCGCTTATTTAGTTGACAAGCTACATCTGTCTGTAGCTCTCGGTTTTAGAGGCACCAGATTATCTGTTTTTCATTCACCACTTTACCATTAGTAAATACAGTTTCCCTGGTCTAGTATCACAGCAACATGAGCAGGTAGATACTGGGTTTGATGTTGTTTGAGCCACACATCATTTAGAAGTATTTTATGGGAGCACATCCCCTTGATACCCTAAACAATAAGAACCTTGAAATATCTTAATATTAACCTTTAATTTAAAAGTTTGTTCTAGTTTATTATTTTTGAGCTATGTTATTTATAAACTAGTTCATACTTGTACTAATGTTTGTCTTTAAATATTTCAGCATAGACAAAGTGCCCAAAATAACATCTCCAGTTCTGGTCATTCATGGTACAGAGGACGAAGTTATAGATTTCACACATGGTTTAACTATATATGAACGCTGTCCACGAACAGTTGAACCACTGTGGGTGGAAGGTGCAGGCCATAATGATGTAGAACTATATGGTCAATACCTAGAAAGACTCAAACAGTTCATAAATGTTGAATTGGCTGTCAATTGACTAGCAGCCACAGAGGAAACTGTTCAAGGTGACCATGACTTGGTGCCAATGGATTCAGAGGTGGTTCTTCCCACTGCCAATGAGGATTTAGATGTGACAGTGGAGGATGAAGACAAATCTCCACAGCATGATACACAGGCAACCTTGTCCTTACAACTCCCTCCTCAGGAGGAGAGAGTTGTATGACTCACAGCTTTAGACATTAGCCGAACATCTCATTTAAACTGCTTTAATCATCATGTTCCAAACCTAAATTGTAATCATCATCTAAACTGAAATGTTTTCTTTGTTCTTTTTAATACAGAAAAGTTAATGGTTCCAACGAACAATTAAAAAAAAAAAAGCATTAGAAGGCCTTTTTTTTTTTTTCCGATCCATATTTTTATGACAAAATGTAATAACTTTGAAACTACAAAATATTTTACAATTTGGTACTTTTAATTTATTTTTTGTGTTCACTCTTACAATTTAAAGAAAAAAAAAAGTTACATATGTTAGATGAACATGATATTATTGTAGTTGACTTGAGCTTGAATAATTTCCTCTGTGAAAAACTTAATCAATTACACTGTATATGACAAAAGATATTTTCTCCTACTTAATTTATGATTTTTTTTTTATATTGCCATAAAACATTTCCATGACACTGTATAGGAAGAATTACATGGAATAATTAAATGATGTCAGCACCACATGAAATTGCATTTTCATGTAGGTCATGTCATTTTGTAATGTTTTTATTTGAAAATCCTCTGTGTGCTAGAAAACTGATTTAAAGGGATTGATTAGTGATTTTGATAGTCCTTTATTGCTCTTTAATTTTGCTATCCAATGATTAGGTATCTTAAATTTAAATATCTATCAATATACTTGAAAGATATTTTCATAATTTTAGTGCTTTGATAAGGTGATTCTGGTCTGTAGTTAATCTGCTATACATTAGCAAAAAATGATAGTCTGAACTTTTGAAAAGGTTGATACAAATATAATGTGATACTCAGATTCTCAATATAAAAAAGCACAAATTAAATAGTTATTAATAATGTGAAGATAGCCCAAAAAAAAATTTAACCAGTATAATTTTAAAAATGATAAATGTTCTCTTGACCAGAATGTGTAATCTTTTATTTTTTTATGAGATATGTATGTCCTAGATATTTCTGAAAATGTATTATGGACATATGTGTATTACCAAATAATGTATGTGTGTGTGTTTACTAAGATTTATATTTTAAGTTCATTAACATCTTCATCTATTCAGTTTCAACTAGTAGTAGTAGTTCTTTCACCAATTTCATATCTCTGTACAGAAGAATACAAATGTTGAATGTTTTAAATGGTTGTGAGAAATGAAGGGGAAATGAATTCCATGTTTCCTGTATGTTGTAATGGTCAGGTAATAGACATACACATTAACATCATTTTCTCAAATTCACACAAACTACTGGTACTGTTATTACTGGACAAACACTAAAACCATTACTGATTCAAAGATATTAGTGTCAATATGATTTATTTTTTTTTTTAGAATTGCAGTGTGGGTTAAAATATTTGTTAATGTGTATTTTTAATTTCTATAATAGCATGTATTGTGTAGTTCATTCTGAAGACTTGTACATTTTGTCATAATTTATAACATTTGTTGCACGATAAATTTGTTCATAAGTGATATAAAAAAATGTCAGACAGTTTTACTTTTTGTATTGATTTAACAATAAATCAAGTCGGTTTAATTTGTTAACAGTTGCAGAGTTGTGATATAAACTCAAATATTGAATGCTTTTGTTAGTTTTCAAAAGAGGTAAACATTTGTCAGTCAACAAATACATTTTTGTGTGCTTCAAGTCAATACTGCAGGCTCAACTATATACCATATTCACTTTTTTTATTTGGGTTTTACACATTTTTTACTGATATTTCAATTTGATCATTTACACAGTTTTGTTTCTGCTAGAGTGCAAGCAAAGAGTTTTTGGCATCATTGTGCTCTCTACTTAAGAAAATATATTATTTAAAGATTGATTGGCTTTGAAAGCTGCCCTTAAATGGCTAACACCATTCCTTTTATTAAATTTTAATTAATGTGAACAATTTGCAGTTACATAAGACATTATCAAAATACACCAGGTTAAGGAGAACTGGTGGCAATTTCAATTTATTCATTTCAGATATATAATTATTTTATGTTTTGTTTGCCTTGTTTGTTTGTTTTTTTTATCAATGGTTTATAATTTAAATTTTTTTTTTTTTCTTTTAAGATAAAGAGAACAGAAGCTACATTTGGTTTAAATATGAATAATGTACAAAATACATAAACTTCATTCAATGATAGCAAGAATATTTGCAAACAATGGGCAACTGTTATTTCAAACAATATCTTTACTTTTGGGCAGAACTATCTAGGTTAGTTTTAAATGAACAACCGACTAATTGATTGTACATCCTAGAAAAAATTCTATAGAATTTAGAATATTGTACTAATTCATACAATTTACCATGTTTTCTAGGTATCAGATAAAAAAATATAAATATGTTTGCTCAATTTAAAATAGAACAATCTTTGCCATTATAAATATTTTTATAATTAAATTTTGTTACATTTCTATAGTACTGATGGTTTCAATATCTTATAGTGATGTTTAATGGCATTTGACCTTGTATAGTTAATCAGTAGTGATAAGGTTCATTTTTTGTCATTCAGCGTTTTAAATTCTTGAAATTGACATTTGTTTGAATTACTTATAATTTTTTTTAATGTATATTTTTGATATTTCAACTTTTTTTTGTTTAAAGCTAAGTGTTTTAACATTAGCAGTGATTAGACTAAAAGTATTGAATTCTTTATCCATCATCATGTTGTATTTAGTTCTATATTGTATTAATTTAATGTTCATTGTCTCAGTTATATTTTTTTTTATTCAAGAGTATGTTATTACCAAGTACCAACAATTTAAAGTATAGTGAAAATTAAAAAAAAACTTGTAAATAATTCATTGTTTCTAAGTTGTTTGTCATGTTGAAACATTATAACTTTGGCACTTGTGTTGGGTTTCATTAGGTTTTTCATAATTAAAACTAACTACTTTAAACAGCTCATAAGTGTTTCTTTGGTTTGCTAAATGGGAATATGTTTATTCAACCAGTATGCATACAAATCTTTTGTTGTATCTGTTGATCTGATTTCCCGATATCTTTTTTATCCCAAATATTCCCAAAATTAACATGTGTGAAGTAGGTAGGTCAGGTTTGAGTAGCTTTCAACTCAAGGTTAAAACCATGCTCCTCATTAAGTCTTGTAAATCTGTCACATGCTAAACTCGTTCTTTAGACTATGAAAGATCATCTGCTGCTCCACTTATTTTGTTAAAGTCTATCTTGTTGTAGGTTATATTTTTGCATACTGGTTGAATGAATAAAGGTAGTTTTCTAATAAATATAAAATAGTTTCAGTTTTGCTAAGGTAAATAGTTTCTTTGAAATGAAATTATTTAAAATTTTAATGAACTGACATTTATGCAAGGTGTCTGTTAGTCTAGTGCTAAAAAAAAAAATGTATGTTTTTTTGAAAGTGTTAGGTAGAATTAATGTTTTTTAACATTTGATTCCAATTTTTGCTTTTTTCCAGCATGTACTTTTTTTTTTTTTTTTTTACAAATACCACATTGAAATGTGTTTGTGTGCTGCTTGTAAAAAGTCTCAAGTAAAAAACTCAATTGTTATGAACAGAAAAAGCTGGATCAAGTTCAGAATTTCTTGATTCTTTCTATTTTTCAGATGTATTTCCACTTTGAAAAGTAACCACATGTTTTGTTAACATAAAGCATTATTCTTTTTTTATTTTCCCCCTACTGTGACAGACATACTGCATCTTTTTGATCTTCTTTGCATTTATGTATGATTTTAATTTGTTCCTTTAAAGACGAGATGTTCTATTTTTCAAACACACAAGCAAACATGCAATGTTATCCTAAACCTAGTCATCAAGCCTCTTTGTATGCTAAAGAGCACATACATTCAGCTAAACTGGGGTAAATGTCCTTATCCCATTTGAAATCTCTTTTGTTGTAATGATTAAATTTTTTTAATTATTTGTATAGTGGTCAGTGCTAAATGAATTGCATTCTATTTGTGTATAACATGTCAATCAGAAGCTCCATGATCAAGGTCTGTGAATTGGTGTACACTCTAATGTTCTTTTTTTTTTTTTTAATTCAAATAAATTATTTTTGTGATTCGAAGTGTTTTTATGATTGATATCTGATTAAACAAAGTGAAACCTGTCAATAGTAATGTCACTATGTTTTTGAACAAATATTCATAGGTCTTGATAGAACGAAAGTTTTAAGGGCTCATATCTGCCCCTACCTTTTTAATAAAACCAGTCAATGGGATAAAGTAAAAATTCTAATGGGACTGCTAGAAACAAATCAGTTTGATATTCAATAAATGGTGGCACACTCTGACAAAGTGCTAATTACTGTACTTAGCTAAGTATTAGATTTCTTAACAGATTAGCATTGCTTCCCTTACTAACTCAATTCAAAAAATTCAAAATAAGTTTTAAAAAAATACACTTTTAGTGTGCTTTAAAAAAAAAAGACATAACTGCAATTTTATTTAAGCTGTAAGAGAAGTATCTGTAGCAAACTTTCTGAAAAAAAAAATTTAAGTAGAAAGAGAGGATCTATGATTCTATGCAAAAAGAAATACCTTTTTAATAATTACTCAAAAAGTTGACTTAAACAGGTCAACAGGCAATATTAATGAAGTAAAACATTCACATCTTTTGTTTCTTTTAATAAATCATTAGGCATTATAATTAATTTTTATTTAATTTTCTTCAACTTGTTTTACCAGCTATTCCTACATTAAACAAAAATAGTATTAAATAATTACTATGATTTCTTATATTTTAAATTATTAACTACTCAGTATTGATCGCTATTGATAAAGTAAAAAGTCCAATCTATTGACTTGCGTAACAGTCACCTAAGGCAAACATTGCAGGTATATTTAAAAAATATTGATCCTACATTAGCAAAATATTACAGAACATCATTTCCAAACTGATCTTAGGCATACAATATCAAGATGAAAATACATCCGTTCCATACATGCCTAGCAAATGTATTATCAATCTACACTCACTGTGTGATCATTGTATACCTGTTTATCATTTTTATAGTGTGATTTGTTGCATTTATATATTTGTGCAATGGTATTGATGTGTGAACTGTCAGTGGCGTAGCAAATTGCTCATGGCCTACCTCCTCTATGTTGTGTATGACAAAAGCAAATGGTGTATCCATCAGTATATTTTTTTAAAAAGGCATTTATGTGTAGATAGGGTACTGTCACCACACTCATTTCAGTTACACCCATTTACAAGTACTGGGGTAATATTGAATTAGTGTCATGACGTTCAGAGTGATTTACATCAAACGAATATTTAAATTTGACTAGAGTAACATCTTTAGTAAGTACCGGTAGCAATAATACATAAAACACTAAACCATTATTTACTAATAGAAAAACAAAACCTAATAAAATACTCAGAAAGACACAAAGAATCGACACATTTCTTATTCCATATGCTAGGACGAATTCGTATAAGTGCTCCATCTTCCCTAGTGCTTTTAGAGAATGGACTTGGTTGCCTGAATTAGCCAGGAAAACCAAAGACTTAGCAGAGTTTAAGTCATTGATTAACATGTATGACTAGATTGACACATGAAACGCGTAGGACGTAATTATATTCTCTTTTGAAGTAACGTCTGCAATCTATAAGATAAGTTATACGTCTTAAAAATTAGAATGATTATTGATTATCCGTGTCGATATCAGCAATTAAATATTTTATTGACCTTTCTTATTACATACATTTACATTCCAAAAACACTTCTAAGTGAGAACTGTTGAACAGTAATAAAACACCTACATGGCTTATAGACCATCATTCCTTAAAGATAATCGTGTATGATGCTATGTTATATTGAATTGCAGAAGCGCTTATCTTGATATTTGGCAGCACATAAATAAACCATACACATTTTGAAACTAGTCATAAAAATGTGCAAAGCTCAAAACTGCTGACGGCATTTTGAGGTTGTGGTTTGGACACTAAACATTTCGCAAGCCTCAGCTTTGGTTGAAGTAACGTCCGAAGGCCATTGTTCTGTGCACTTAATCAAGAAGGCACCATCATAGCTAGGGGCTCGCAATTTACTTCAAGGCAACTGATGATTTCTCATTGCTAGGCATATTTGTATAACCAAGTCTGTACTCTCAGATGATATATACCAGGATTCAGAGGCGTAGTGAATGGGGCATGATGCCCCGGGCGCCTTCCTCATGTGGAGGGGGAGGGGCACACGCAAAAGGACGCGAAAAAAAAATTTCTTTAATTTTTCAATTTTGTAGAATTATTTCAACTAAAACATTTTCTCCTAGAAATAATTCCTTATTGCATGATTGGATCTGTCTTATACGTTTTCGTCATGCTCATTTGAATCAAGGATACAAATCGCTGTGCTTATCACCATTGGTCAATTGACATCTACAACAATAATCGTGTTTTCAATTTAAAACTCTTTACTGATAACAAACCTGATTCTAGATTATAATTCAGTGATCAGTAGATGAGTAAAACTGTTAGAAAAGAGTTCACTGAAATAGACCAGAGAAAGACTTTTTTTTTTTTGCTACATCTAGATAAACATTTTTTTTCAGTTTAGAATAGTGTTTTGTGTGTGTGTGTGTTTTTTTTTCTTTTTTGAGTTGTTCAAATTTGAGGCCAGCGTTTCTCAAACTGTGGAGCGCCCCCGCCCTCACCCCATAGGGTGCTGGCAAAGGGGTGCGAAGTTGCTTTTTTTATTTTTTCAGAAACAAAAACTGATGTAGTTATAATCCAGATTTGAGTAAGATGATATTGTTATAAACCTGGTGGTGGCACAGATGGGGGTAGTGGTGTGAGTGTAGTCAGCCGACGCAAATCGCCCCAGGCCAGCGCTAGACGAGCGGTCAACCGTGACGAGTTACGACGGTCAGACGAGACGAGTGTCAACATGAAGGTTCGAGTAGGATCGGCGCCGTGAACAGAGCTCAGGAGCGTCACGAGGGATGTAGTCATATGACCACCCAGAATGGTCGAGCGACGTTCTGCCCGGTTCGAGAATGCCAGTAGGGACCCTATATAAGAGCGGAGGTGTCGCAGTCAAGACGGTTCAGAAAGGAGGTTCACGACAGAAGGTCCACTACAGTCCGGTCGACTACAGCACAGTTCAGCGGTGTGGTTCTGTACGGAGCATTACGACGGTTCAGTGCGGAGTACTGTCAAGTACAGTTGAGACGACTGGCGTCTTGATCTTGGTCTGTGATCGAGTCCGACACAACGAGCATAGTGTGTGAAGTCAGTCCTGAACTGTTGAACCCAGTGAAAGCCCGGAACGAGACGGAGAGGCCAGTGCAAGAGTTGATACGGCGGAACGGTGTTATCGGAGAGATATTTGTACAGTGTACGTGTTGCCAATTGTACAGCATTGGCTGTTATTTATTCAACTATTAAAGTGTTACGTTACTTTGGAGCCCTGAGTTGTCAAGTTCTTTAAGTTGGTGGTGTATGGTGCAGTTTGCAGATAGCATGGATAGTGAGATTCGTAACAATATTATATTCATTGATTAAAAAGAAAAATTTACATTAAGTGAAGTCGTTTTGTCTAATTAAGGCTTTTCATACGTCCACTATTTTTGTGAGAAGCGTCTGCAATAAGAATTTAAATATGTCAATAACTAAAATTTGAAAAACTATCGGAATTTCCCTTTAAGATTCTAGGTCTACTTTCTTATGCTTACATCTTTCTGAACACCAATATGATCTTTCGATCAAGCTTATTAATATTACGAACGTACAGTCTCAAATGACTAGAATATATCTCCCCATTCAGTATCAACATGTCACAAGCTTCACTTTGACTTAGATGCAATTTTATTTCCAAGAATAAAATGTGGTATAGACCAAAGCATAATGAATTTCAGAAGCCTACAATGCAGGAAAACGCTTGATCCCGTATTTGGGAGAGAGCCAATATTAAAGGTATGAGAAACCTTGTTTAGGTCTGCGCCCTTCTTACTAGAAAAGCAATAATTTTGATGTTGAACGTGAGAACAAGTGATATATGTTTTCAAATGTTACAAAGATTGGATTTTAACTACAATAACTCCTATTAAATGGGAACATTAATTGTGCACTAATTACAAACAATGCTTTTTTTTCCATCTTTCATTCTTTATTTAACGCAGGGCAGTATCACCATACTAGTGTGATCTAGTAAAAAAAAAGTTCCCCTTTCAGACTTTGTGATCTATAGGGCAGATGATGTAAAGGTTATCTATTTCTGTGGCCTACGGCTAACGAGGTTGTCATGTGGCCAGCAAAACGACCAACCACCTTTACTTTTCCCCAACTAATGTCAGAGGCGCCCAAAGATCCCAAAATTAAAAATCCCAGTATTCGAGCCCGCGACCCCGGTTCAGAAGCCAAGCACTTTACAACTCAGCCATCGCGCCTCATATAGGTATTTCTTGGCTTTACCATGACAAATATGAATAAACAGAAATGACAAATTTAAATATCAATAAGCGTTATTGTTTTTAACATTTATAGGCTTACCTACTTGAGGTTTTAGGCATATATTTCTTTTTACATGCATTGTAGAGGAAGATTTTGTTTAATCATAGATTTTTGCAGGTTAATATTAGTGGCAATACATTTTTGCTATTCAAGATTTAATTTTAGAAAAATTGATCAAAAATCTCAAAGGCCACGGAGTATGTATTTAGCACGTAAAAAAGTGGAGAGTATTTTGTAGACGTCAAATCACCGTAGGCCTATCTATTTGAGGTAGCTCATATATTCTAAGGTCATTTGTAGTATATTATTATTAAACTAGTTTATTTATAAGCCAATATTTCTATGAGATGTTCATCGAAAAGAAAAAGGAGGGGTGGCAATAAAGTTCCTTTCCCCGGGCGCACGTTTTGCTCACTACCCATCTGCTAGTATTGACTCTTTGAATGCCATTTCTCTGGTATCTCACCAACGCAGACGGATGCTAATCTAAACAACATTTTTTTAATGTTTGAATACCGGTAATGTCAACAATTTAAAAAAAAAATTGAATTGGATCTTCACATTAAGCTTGGAAATCAAATATAATCACAGCTAAAAAAGTTTCTTTATTACTGGGGTCACCTAAATAATAATATTCAATAAGGCTGCCCAGTGT